TCTAATTATATAAATAGCTTATAGGCAAATTCAGCCCCTAATGAACAAAGTTGATTTAAGGGGAATTAACTTGTTGAGAGTGAATACTGTGGGAAAAGGGAACAAAGAACCATATTATCAGCTCTTCTATTTATTCTTATTTTTCTTCTCTTTATTCTTATTATTTACTCTGAAGTAGCATTTTCATCACAAGGGATTGGCTGTGTGAAAAATCTTTTTTTACCTTTCAATTAAGGAAAGTGTTTATGAAAAAAAAAGTCCTGTAAGCTTTTAATGATTGTTTTCCCCACTTATTACAATGTTGATGGTGATGCTTACAAGTGGCCTGTGGGTCCAGAACACACTGGCTTTCTGCTTCTAGTTAGTAGTCTTTGGAGACACAGTAGAGTTGTTTACTGGTATGTAAACAGCAGACTAGAGGCTAAGTGCTTTGATCCAAGTCTCCTTTTTCTCTTAGAGGTTTAGAAATGTTTTCCAGGTTTTTGCATATTCATTTTTTCTTATCCAGGATTTATTATGCATAGTCTATATTTTTTCAGGGAATGAATATTTTTTATTGCTTTTAAAAACATACATAGCATTTCCAGATTCCATTCCATTTAATTGTCAGATCAAAAAGAACGGAAAGAAGTTGTAATTATGGATACCTGACTCAGTGCAGAATAACACCAATCATGGGGACATTGTTCTGGTTTTGATTTCAAAGTAATCACTGAGTAAAGTTCCTTTGAATTGGAATATGAATCAGCACTTAGCAAGGCTGTGTTTAAACCTCTACTGCAGATTCTGAGTGACAGAAAATTTCTAAATAGGGCACTGTTTGTTCAGAGTTTTGGGTATCTGTGATTTACTTGGCTTTGTTAAACAATAGAAGCTTTGGTTCAGTTATATTTTTAACATCCCTTAAAATAAATCAAAGAGTGTTCCCATTTTGGATGTGAATTAATAAGGTGGAGGAAATATAGAACTAGCAAGTGCTGAGTATCCAGGGATTATGTTTTGGCCTCTCCTGGGCTGCCTTGGTTAATAATTTTTTGGTTGCAAGTAATAGAAACAGGCTCTGGCTAGCTTAAGGGGAAAAAGTAAGTGGAAGAATATCTGAGTATCTAATAAAATCCAAGACTTAGGAAAGGCAGGGATCAGGGAACTTCAGATCTTAGAAGTACCAGTTCGTGTCTGTCTTTATAGGGTAATGTGTCTGAGATGACTCATAAATAAGTCTTTTAAGAGAGCATGTTTGGGGCAAGACTTCACCCACCGATCAGTCAATCCAAGTAAAAGTCAAACCCAATTCTACCACCACAGAGTTTATACGAACTTGTAAGAGACCCTACAGGCAGAGTAGAATTGCCTTATAGAATCTTCAAAGCTATAATGCTTAGAGGCAGACTATCACATTTTAAAATTGTCAAACTTTCAGTTAGCAGCCAAGTGTTTTAAGCACTGTGCCACCAGTTCTCCTGAAACGAAGTCACAGAGGAAGAGCAATGCAGGTGAGGCACTTGTTTTTGAGTGACCACACATGCTATGTGTGGACATTTCCTAGAGACGGGGTGATTATTGTGTACTGTCAATAACACTCGTCAACTGAGTCTACAATTGGGCATACTTTTCAAGCTTAATTCAATTTTCTCAAATAGCCTATAAAGTTACTATTTCTATTTCACAAGTAAAAAAATGGAGACTGAAACTGGTTAGACAACAATTAAAATGTTGCCAAGCTAAAATCTAGGAACATTAAGTGTTTGAGTATTTATTAAATTACTATAAACACATATATACAGTTATGTGCCATCAAGTTGGAATCAACTTAGAATTGACCCTCCAATGTGTTTTCAGAGGCTGTAACCTGCATAGAAGGCTGCCCTTCTTTCTCTCTTGGAGCAGTTGGTGGATTTGAACCACTTGCCTTTTGGTTGTCAACATAGCTCCTCCTTACCACTGGGCCAATTCAGTTATTCACCCCTTTTCTCTCTCTCCACAAACAGGTGGGGTGAGGAAAGGGGAGAGCAAGTGACAGCATAAATGTAGGAATTCTATCTAAGAATATTTCTAAATCATATGTAAGACAAAATAAGTTTTAGATACAAAACATCTGAGTGTTTCTAACAAAATGTTAGGGAACTCTGGTGGCTTAGTCATAAGGAGTTGGGTTTCCAAACCAAGGCATTTTGTTTAATCTGCCAACTTCTCCATGATAGAAAGATGGGCAATATCCTCTCACATGATTTATTGTTTCTCAAAACTCACTTGAGAGTTAGCTGAGTTGGTTCTGACTCAATGGTACATAAAATTATCAAGACTTGGAGCTCAGTCACATTTCAGAAAAATACTCTTGCCTTTGACACAGTGCAACACTTGATCGTCTAATTCTTAGTCAATACTACCTGAGATATTATTTTTTTTGACAGCTAGAACAAAAACAGAATGGTTTTTCTTGTGTAAACCTATACTTGAAATTAATTGAAACAAACTACTAATTTAGTAGAAGAGAACTTATCTGTTCAAATAATCAATATGCTATGCCAAGCTTATATTTGTAATTTCTCTTTTAGAAAAACCCTGAAGGTGAGAGGATGTTGTAGAAATTTCAAGGAATAAATTATTGTACATGGTCAGTGTTCTACAAGTACGTACAGTCTGTAAGTATCAATTTATTCAAAATAACTTGAAAAAACAATTAGTCTATATCATCATCAATGTTGTAGCCTCATTGGAAGAGGAACCAAAAACCCCAAATTCGCTTGATAGTGGCAAGATAAAGAATATAAAATACTACATTTCCACTGTCTCTCAATCCTTGGGTAAGAAGTTCAGTGACCTCCTGGTTTCATTTTGTTTAAATCATACTAATTAACTTGTGAAAATATCCTATCATTTCAGTCTGATTACAAAGAAATATTATATAATTATCATATCATTGTCTTTGTGGTTTGTTCATTTGTGATTAAAAAGCTCTTCTCCACTATTATTTTGCTATTACAAGTCAGTGGCCTACTTACTTTGATTTCTTATTTAATTTTCTATAGAAAAATGTATAGTTAATGCCATTGAAAGACTCTTTGTAAATACCATTGTAAACACTTAGGATATGCCAGGAATGAAGCCATCTTATAGAGTGTCATCTGGTCTTTGTTCTGAGTTGTTCTGAGCCATAGCAACACATAGGTTAATGTAGAAAGAGTGACCAGGACAGACAACTGGGTACTTGATGCTGATGAAGACTCATGAGGCTGGATATGATCCATCACTGTCACGTGTCGAGGCCAAGGAAAACTTTGAAAGATGACGGTTCAGTAAGCTTCTTGATTGGTAAGGGTTAACATCTGCCCCTGGGAGAGCAGCACACCCTGTAGGGCCAAGCATACTCCATTCTGTGACTCTTCCAGATCTCGTCTTCTATGTCTCCATCTGTATTGTCACATTAAAGCTGTTGAGCTCTGTGAGTTGTTCTACTGAATTACTAGACCCAAAGAAGGGGAAGCTGGCTGGCCTCAAGTGGAAAGAGTCATGTTAATTGCAGCTGGTACAAGGTGACCTGTCCCTGGGGTGGTAGGGATGAAGCAGAAGGGGTTAATTGGTCTAAAGGGGAGGGATTCATATATATTTCCGAGTTTGTAGCTGTTACCTACCAACTCAGCTTAGGTTGGCTAGGGAATGATAAGAAAGAAGTGTTGGATAGCCAGCTGGTGTAGGAGTTGGACAGGAAAACAAAGCTGAGATTTTCAAGGGGTAAAGCTTGCGTGTGGCGTGAAATTTTTTATCTACTATACAATTAGTAGTCAAAAGTGGGAGACTGTAAGTCTTTTTTCCTAGACTCTTTTGTACAATTGATAGGATCTCCTAGATTAGATTCTGATACCCACATGTACATATATATCATCTAAATATATATACATAGCTATATATGCATATTATATATGTGTAGAGATAGAGATATACACACATACCATATATACGCATGCACACAATTATGTATGGATATAGACGTATTACCAAGAAACATTTTTAAACAGAAAAATAACAATAGCCAAATATGTTTTTGGAGATCTGTTTATTACATTGCAAAATCTCAGAAACATATAAAGGCCATGAAGTTGAAGCATTTCAAAAAATAAGATGATTTGCATACATCTTAATAATATTTTAGTTCTGATGTTAAAAATACTCATGATTTCACATTGAAGCACAATACTCATAAATTAGGTAAACTATCAAATATTGGGGAAGTTCTTCACATTTCTTACATTTATTCCAACCCAAGTTCCTAAAAATGGCTGTTACATTTTTCTAGAGATCAAATTTAAAGTTATATTCATGAGAAAAATTATTGATTCATAGTGCCTTTGAATAGCAGAAAAATGAACTGAGCATATATCACAAATATGCTCCTTTAGTTTAAGTGTCAAATCAGACCAAAACTGAAGTAATATTGTAATTACTAGTGGGTTTTTTAAGAAGTATCTCTGCGTACAGTAGGTCAATAAAATTACATAGGTCTAGATGCAGAGAAGAGGTCTAATAATGCTAGAATGATTATTAAATCAGTGTTTCATATTCAAGTTACATAGAGAAATAAATAGGTGATGTTGAAATCATGCTATTTGTGTCCTAAAAATCAAATATATATATATGATTACATTCTAGTATCTTGTCAAAAGTCATTATTAAACAATAATTAATGTCATTTACCACTTTTGTAAATTTAATATATTAGGCTGCCAGAGGCTATAATTACATTCACTTAGTTAACTTGTAATACAGTGGCACTTTTCAATGGCTTTGGGTTTTAAGAAACTTGCTGCTGCTACCTAATATTGTTAGAACTAAAACAGTAAAAGTAAAGGAGAAAGCAAAAGAAAACAGATTAGTTGATCATCTTCCAAATATTGTTTTGGTTTATCCTTGAACTCAAAATCACTTCCCCAAGTTTTGGAAAGAAAACAAAAGCATCTTTATAGTTCACAGCATGTATATTAGAGGTCTAATGATTTATCCATTGCCAGTGTGGGTTAGCTTGTCATGTTCTCTTTACTCAATATCAGCTGGTTCTGTAGCTATTAAAGCACTTAACTGTTTCTGGGCACAGGAGAGGAACAGTTCCAAACTGGACAGGCTTCTTTGGCGGATGACTTGATCAAGCTGTTGATTTTGTTGTGAAAGAGAAAAAGAGGGAGAGAGAAAGAGAAAAAAAATACACTTAGTTGAGGGAAAAGAGTATTATGTTGCATGAGGCCTCCTGAAAGACCTATTTAGGTGATATACTATAGACAATTAAATAGTGCATTAAACTGTGGGATCATTACATCATGTATCTGGCCTATCATCTACAGTAATTTTTATTACTGATATTGGTATTTAATTATTATAGCAATATCATATATATGAATGGGGTGATTCTAGAAAATACAATAGTATTTGAATATATTGGCCAAATATCCACAAAAAAACCATATGAATGCCATAGATACAACTAACATAAGAAATATAAGATAAACAAAACAATCATATCATGAATAGAATCTAATAGAGAAATTATGTTGTTGTTGTTATGTGCCGTCGAGTTGCCTGCGACTCATAGCAACCCTATGTACGTACAACAGCCCTAAACTCCACTCTGTCCTGAGCCAATCGCACTGTCTCTGACACTCCCATCCCGATTATCCCAGTCACTGAATCAATCCACCTCATAGACGGCCTTCCCCTCCTGCGCCATCCCTCCACCCTCCCAAGCATGATGTCCCTCTCTAAGGACCGGTTTCTCCTCACTACATGTCCAAAGTAAGTTAGACGGAGCCTAGGTGAGAAAAATCAACATGTCCTCAAATCAGAAAAAAGTTCTGGGAAATGAGTATTTTGATGCTGAAATACCTGATCCGGTCCTTTTGCACAGGAAAAGAGTAAGGATGTCAGTTTAAAGACTCAGATGAGTCTGACTCAAGCAATGGTATTTTCACTTGGCTCATATGCATATGAAAGTTGGGCTAAAATAAGGAAGACCAAGGAGAACTGATGTTTTTGAATTGTGGCACTGCCTATTCCATGGACTGCCAAAAGAACAAACAAATCAGTCTTGGAGGAAATACAACAAGGGTACTTCTTAGAGGTAAGGATGAGCATCTTGACAGGAGGCACCAGATCTGGGAAAATGACATCTTGCTTGGAAAAGCAGAGGGTCAGCAAAAGAGAGGATGACATTCAACAAAACAGACTGCATAGTGACTACAACGAGCCTGAGCGTGGTGGCAAATTGTGATGGTAAAGGATAGGGGAAAGTTTCCATTTGTTGTTCATGAAGTTGAGGTGAAGTAGAGTTTACCTGATGCTGTCAAATGACAAATGACGTGTGTATGTATACGTTTACCAATACACACACATGCATATGTAATAGCTGTTTAATAGGAAGCTTGGGTGGCCAAGCGGTAAGGGGCTGCACTGTAATCATGAAGGCATGCCATTCAAATCCACCAACTGCTCTGGGGGAGAAGGATGGGCAATCTCCTACTGTGAGACTAACCGCCTCAGAAAACCCACTGGAGGGTCAGTTATGGGTTGGTTCCAACTCAGCAGTACTCAACAACAACATTACACACACACACACACACACACACACACACACACACACACTAGCTATTTTAATACCTAAAATGTCTTCTATTAATGGACATTTATGGTGTTCCTAATCTTTTGCTAGACATTCAATGCTATAATAAATAAATAAACTTATACAAATTATTTCTGCATACAGTACCAGTACACAGGGAGTTTCATTGCTAAGCCCAAAGTGGCACCTCTCAGCAGTTCAAAGCCATCACCCCCACTCAAGCATGAGGAAATGTGCAATCTCTTCCTGTGCAATGTACATCCTCAGAGAACCTCGCAGGAAGATTAGCTATGAGCTTGTTCATACTCAACAGCAATGAGTGTGAGGAGGTTTTTTATATGCAGTAAAAACTCTTTGGGCCAAGTAATATGTAATTTACAAGGTGGACTTTGTCATAAATCAAGTTTAAAATAAGCATGAATTGGCCTGTATACTATGTGTCATATTCACCTACCCTTACATCATCATAGTGGTGTCTTTATTATTACAGCTATAGAATAAAGTTAAATATTGTGACACAAAGCCAGTATATTCAGAAGACTATAAATGAATACATTTCTAATAGAATATTTTTAAAAAGCAAAGGATCAGATTATAGACAGTATAATGCATTTTCCAAAAAATCACAAAAACCACATATTCTTTTGAGTTACATAATGTAATAAAAGTTTTTAAAAAAATTCCTCAAAACTTTGCATCAGAAAAAAATATTGAAAGACATAAAAACAATTAATTTCAACCATTTTTAGATGCATTAATTTCATTAACAGTGTAGTGTGACCACTACAATTACCTACTTCCAAAATGTTTTAATCCCCCCCAAATGAAAACTTTATACCCAATTAAGCAATAACTCTGCTTTATTCATTTCCCTGCTGATGGCAACACTATCTCTGCTCTATGAATTTGTCTATTTTAGATATTTCATGTAAGGGAGCTCTGATGGCTTAGTGGTAAGAAACTGTACTGCAATCCCAAAAGCCAACAGTCTGAATCTACCAACTGCTGTGTGGGAGAAAAAAACAGCCAATCTTCTTTCATAAAATCACAAAATATTTTTCCATTAAGTCTAATACTTAACATGTGATGTTCAAGGGTCATTCATGTTGTAGCAGGTTTCAAGACCTCCTTACTTTTTATGGCTGAATAATATTCCATTGTATTCATCAACACTTTGTCTTTCCATTTTTCTGTTGATTAACTTGAGTTATTTTATCTTTTGGATAGTGTGACTAATGCTCCCATGAGCACTAATGTACAAGTATTTGTATTTGTAATTATTTTGTGTAAATAAGTCCTGAGAATAAATTGTTGGGTCATACGGTAATCTGTATTGAATTTTTTAGGAACTATCATATTGATTCCATCCTAATGGGTGTTGGAGAAGAGTACTGAACATCCCATGGACTGCCAGAAGAACAAATATGTCTTGGAGAAGGAGCAGCCAGGATGCTCCTTGGAGGTAAGGATGTTGAAACTTCATCTCACATTCTTTGAACATGTAGTTAGGAGGAGTTAAGAGACATCATGTCTGGAGAGGTGGAGAGTCAACGAAAGAGAAGACGACCCTCAATGAGATGGATTGGCACAATGACTGTAACATGAGCTCAAGTATATAAAAGATGATGAGGGTGGCAAAGGACAGAGAAGGGTATAGATCTGTTGTTCATATATGGTTGCTATATGGTTAAAGTTGACTCAGTGGCACTTAACAATAACAATGGGTGTTAAGTGGCATCATATTGTGATTTTGAATTTTATTTCTCTAATGAATAATGAGAGAGGTCTAGTGGTCTAGTGGTAAGGAGTACTGCTGTCAACCTAAAGGCATGTGGTTGGTATCCACTAGTTGTTCCTTCGGAGAGTGTTAGGCAATATTCTTCCTTGTGATTTACAGCCTCTGAAAATCCAATGGAGGATCTGCTATGAGTTGGTTCCAACTTGATGGCACATAACAACAGCTAAAACAATGACTAATGATGTTGAATGTCTTTTTAGGGTACTGGCTGGTCATGAAATATATTACCTTTAGAGAAATGTATACTTGAAACTGTCCATTTTAAAATGGGACTTCTTTTTTTTTACCAAGAGAGTATGTGTCCTTTTTACATATTATGGATACTGAACTCAAATATGTACAGAGCTCCAGTGGCTTTATGGTAAAGAATTGTGCTGCCAATGCGAAGGTATACAGTTCAAATCCACCCACCAGCTGCTTGGCAGGTGAAAGAAGGTCAATCTCCTCTCCCGTGAGTTACTGCCTCCAAAAATCTGCTGGAAAGTCATCAAGGGGCTGGTTCCAATTTTTCAGTATGTAACACAGCAACAATAATTAGACATAAGATTTATAAATATTATAACCATTTTGTAGGTTATCTTTTTATTTTCTTAAGTGTCTTTGAAGAACACGTTTTAAATTTTTACAGAATTTATTTTTTCTATTACAGCTTGTTTATAGTATCTGTGTTTCATTGATTATGCAAAGGCGTTTGACTGTGTGGATCATAACAAACTGTGGCTGACTCTTGAGAAGAATGGGAATCCCAGAATATTTAATTGTGCTAATGCGAAACCTATACTTGGACCAAGAGGCAGTAGTCAGAACAGAGCAGGGTAACACTGCATGGTTCAAAATTGGGAAGGGTGTACGCCAGGGATGTGTCCTGTCTTCATACCTTTTCAACATATATGCAGAGCAGATTATCTGGGAGGCTGGGCTCTGAGGAGAATTGTGGCATCAGGATTGGTGGAAGATTTATTAACAATCTGCATTATGCAGATGACACAACCCTGCTTGCTGAAACTGAGGAGGACCTCATGCACTTGCTGCGAAGGGTCAAGGACTGCAGCCTTCAGTATGGACTGAGGCTCAATGTCAAGAAGACAAAGATTCTCACCACTGGACCAATTGGTAGCGTCAGGATGGATGACGAAGAGATTGAGATTGTTCACAGCTTCAGTTTGCTCAGCTCCACAGTCAACACTCTTGGCACCAGAAGTCAGGAAATCAAAAAACATATTGTAATGGGAAAGTCTGTTGTTAGGGACCTCTCTAAAGTACTCAAGAGCAACGGTGTCTCTCTGGAGACTAAGGTGCACCTGATACAGGCTATGGTCTTTGCAACCACTTGTTATGTATTAGAGAGTTGGACAATGACTAGGGAGGACAGAAGGAGAATTGATGCCTTTGAGCAGTGGTGCTGGAGAAGAGTACTGAATGTACCACGGACTGCCAAGAAAACAAACAGATTTACCCTGGAGACGATTAAACCAAGCAACTCCTTGGCGGCAAGGATTCTGGGGCTTCATCTGACATACTTTGGGCATGTTGCCAGGAGGGACGGGTCCTTGGAGAGGGACATCATGCTTGGGAGGGTGGAGGGATGGCACAGGAGGGGAAGACCCTCTATGAGATGGATTGATTCGGTGGCTGGGGTAGTCGGGATGGGTGTGTTGGAGGCAGTGGAATTGGCGCAGGATAGAGCAGGGTTTAGGGCTGTTGTGCATAGGGTCACTGTGAGTCACAAACTACTCGATG